CACAATGGAATATTATGCAACCATCAAAAGGAATGAGATCTTGCCATTTGCAACGACGTGAATGGAACTGGAGGGTGTTATGCTGAGTGAAATGAGTCAATCAGAGAAAGACATGTATCATATGACCTCACTGATATGAGGAATTCTTAATCTCAGGAAACAAACTGAGGGTTGCTGGAGTGGTGGGGGGTGGGAGGGATGGGGTGTGGGTGATAGACATTGGGTAGGGTATGTGCTATGGTGAGCACTGTGAAGTGTGCAAGATTGTTGAATCACAGACCTGTATCTCTGAAACAAATAATACATTATATGTAAAAAAAAAAAAAGATAGTAGGAAGGGGAAAATGAAGTGGGGGGAATTAGAGGGGGAGACGAACCATGAGAGACGATGGACTCTGAGAAACAAACTGAGGGTTCTAGAGGGGGGGGGGCTGGGGGGATGGGTTAGCCTGGTGATGGGTATTGAAGAGGGCACGTTCTGCATGGAGCACTGGGTGTTATGCACAAACAATGAATCATGGAACACTACATCATAAACTAATGATGTAATGTATGGTGATTAACATAACAATAAAAAATTTAAAGAAAAGAAAAGCAGAAACATAGCCATTTTTTTCATGCAGAGAGAACTGAATGATATGTTAGAATTACATAATTTTAGAATGGTTATGCGTATAGATCCTGAAGATTACTTTCTTAGGCCTAATGGTTCATTATCCATAGCTTTGCAAGGGAAAAAAAATCTATTTTAATGCATCTTCTTCTGCTTTGGTCTCAGTTTCCTAAGTTTTCAAATGAAGCATAGGATATCTAGATTAATGGTCTGCAAAGCTTTTCTGTGGAAAAAAGGAAAGAAATGATACTTGTCTCCACATCTCCATACCAAACCACAGGGGGAATTAGTTGCACCATTGAAGCTTACTTCTCTTTTTACATATTCAAATTTTTGCTATCTTCCTTTCTAGGGGAAGATTGGAGTAGGGTATTCACAACCATGATGTGAATTTACAATTAAGGTTTACTGTGATTACTTGTGTGGCCGATGAAGTTAGAGTACCACATAATGCTTTGTGTTTTATAGAGAATAATGTGCCATATTCTGTGGCACTTTAGCCTATCATTCAATATAAATATAGTTATTTCCTGAAAATTGTGTGCAAGTTACAAAAATAAAATAACTTACAAGACAGTAGCTTAAATAAAACATGAACTACTTTCTGATGGTGCTCACTTAGTGTCTGATTTTTAATGTTGCTTTCCCCCCTAGCAATTCTTTGAGGTGGAAGAAGAAACTTTTGTGCAAGAATCAACTACTATCAAGATGAGTGTTTTGTTAAAAAAACTGAAGGATAGAGAAGAAGTTATTAAGAAATTAAGAGAAGAACTAGACCAATACGAAGAGTCCAGACTTCAAAAACTTGTAAGTTTCAAAGCAATGAATAATTAATTTTAATATATATAAATAAAATTATAACTTTCCAAAAGTCTGGGTCAAGAATAAAGGAAATACAAGTGGTATATCTCGGACATCTCTCCACAACATCAGCCAGTCCAACCTTTTTCTGCTCAATGGCATATTCCAGAAAACCCATAATTGTTATAAATAGGAGGAATATAATTGTTTTCAATTTTTATTTATAATAGAAATAAACTATTTCCCACTGCAGAAATTGTCCTATTCTAGAAGAGCATGTAGATTTTGGTTTTAATTTTGAAGACTCCAACCCTGATTTGCTGTTTAGATAGTTTGAAAGACACAAAGCAATCTCTCCATGTCAGAGGCTTCCAGGAAGCACCATGGAACAGGGGGACCTTCAAGGAAAAATTCTCAAAGGGTTCCCCCCCCCAAGTTCTCCTTGTTTCCAAGGGAGCCAGAAGTTGGTTAACTACTTGGACAAAGGACTGGTGGGAACAGAAATGGAAAGAGAGAGCAAGGAGACGCTAAACTCCTGGCAAGGAGGAGAATTTTAAGGGCTCTTGAAAGTGTGGACACTGAGAGTGAATTCATTTTCATCTCAAGTCAGCTTTGAGCCACTGGCGGTGGCCCAACCACAGTTCAGAGCCACACAGGGGTCTTTATTATTAGATTCTAAGAGCAAGAAGCTGATTGAGTCAGAGAGGCTGGAAGAGAGGCCAGAGGAATAACAATCTTTTGAATATCAACTGGCAGGCACCACGTGCCTCATCAGTGGTACCTCTTCTCATCTCCTGACTCAGTTTATGGAAGAGGAAGCAGAGACGGGGTGGTTAAGTTACTTCCCCCAGGCACACAACTAGTACATGGTAGAGATAGCATGTGAACCGAGGTCCCGCTGAATCTGAAGCCCACAAAAGGATGTGGAGCTCTATGCTCTACAGTAAGGCATCAAGGTTGTGATTTTCCAAATTAACTAGCTGGTATGTATATATAAAATAGACTATAATATTATATTATTATAATGTACGCATATATTAATACAGGTATATACGTACACATGTAAATTTTGACACATGCATAGATATGCACAGAAAAGGTCTGAAAAATTATACATCCAAATGTCAACACTAGGAAGAAACACTTAGCGTTGCCAGTCCTTTGAAGAGCAATCGATAATTTACCTAAATCCCACACTAGTAATCTTATTTAAAACTCCAAGTTTAGAAGAGAGAAGGAATTGCACTTGTATCATTCCGAAGGATTTTGTTTACTAATTGGTGAAGAAGTATTTACTTTGTATAATCCATTAGAATTGTTTAGGTTCTAAAAAAACCCAAGTATCTTCTAAGTAAATATTAAGTGTTAGTAGCATAGATCTAATTAAATATTAATTCTTTTTACATGTTCTGATTGCTTTGGAAGAGGCACATCCAGTTTTTGCACTTATTTTAACCTTTTCCTGGGTCTAATTCTAGTCTTATTTTTGGAGACAATAATTTAATAGAAAGGACTAAAGCAACTGTAATAGTTTTGGCTTTTAAACTTTCCTTGGTCAAAGATATCCAGTATAGATTGGCAGGGTGATTTGGGTCCATTTATTTCCCATTTGTGAAGTGCAAAGATACCTGCCTAGCTAAAAGAGATAGTTGTGAGAAGGATACCTGTTGTATTGAATGTGAATTGCTTTGAGTTCTTTGAAGAAAGCTAAGTATATAAATCCTAGTTATCATTATGAGGAAATACACAAATCCTTATGACCATCTAGTTTACATTCCATGAAATGCTCTGAACAAACCTCAGGACCTGTTCAGACCATCCCTATGTGGTAATTGAGCTCCTTACACTAAAGCATGAGGTCTATCTTGTAAGGTTTACATCTCAGAACGTCTTCAACCTGGTAACTGTGCTCTCTGACGCCAGACGGGAAGGAGGATGAGTATGGGTAGTGGCTTTGTGAGGACAAGGAAGTGGGGGGCTCCACCCTGCTGGCTCAGGAAGGCATCCTGAATACCCTGGTTATTCCACTAAAATTTGTCCCCAGGGAGACCACATCACAATTTCTGTAAGCACCCTAAGGTTTGAGGGAGGTGAAGATACTCCTGATTTACTAGGAGTATACATTTCTCCCGGCTCCTGAGGATCGCAACAAAATGTATGGCGCTGGTCTCCCACCTTGATTGAGGGCAGTGTAGAGCAGTCGGGACTGGTGTGCATCTCAGGAACATGGACATGAAGGCCACAAAACAGATCATGAGTTATACAAAATAAACCTATGGAGGATACTTTATTTTTAATCCTCTAAGATTTCTTAAAACTCCATGCCACCGAGGATCTGGAAGAGATCCTTTTAATTTGAAAGTTCATCTTATACAACTGCTCCCTCTGGTGGTATAAAAAAGCTTGAGACACCAAGCATCCGAGATCAGATTTGGAAAACAGAATTTGGAGAACCAAACGGAGAATTTCAAAGTCGCAATGGAGATAACTTGAAACCACTTGAAATAAGCAAGCTGAATAAGCAATAGGGAAACGCTTTAGTTCATTCTTACTGACAGTCAAATTACATGAATAGCTTTATAGTTAATAAGTAGTCGTAACATCTCTCTAGAATGGTTTTTGAGGAAAATCTGATGAGAATGTGATCGCAAAGGGAAAGTTTCATAAACCGCTAGCTTAAATCATATTTATAACAAAAAGGAAATTGGGAAAGGGAGCTCTTTAAGTTATAGAAGCCTCATCTCTCCAGGCTTGATGTTGAATATCCCTCCGAGCACCGTCACTCAAGGACTGAGCGTCTTTTCCAGTTTAGTTCTGTAGGAAACCATCGTGACTTAGCCGCATGTCACTGTGGTTCTCCGGTTGCCGTGCGGTCCATTGATCAGTCCCCTTGTGGATTGCAAACTGAGGCTGGGCTGTCAGAGCGCATGCGCAGGTGTTCGCGTGTCTGCCCGCATACACGCACGTGCGTTTTAATTGCAACTGACTTCATTTCTTCCCCCTTACCCTCCCATAAATGAGCTGTGCAACCATCACCCCCCCGCCCCGCCCCCTGAGAAGGGAACATAACTGCTTGTTGCTGACAGCTCTGAAACAGAGCTGTCCGTCAAGAGTGGCAACTCTGCAGGGCTGCACTGCCCCAGTGCGCCACTTTCCTGGCTGTCACTCACTGGGAGAGCACCTGCTCTTCTCTGTGGCTGTCAGGCAGCACACAGGCATGCATCAGAACCTTCCTGCACCCCCCAGCAGCAAATTGAGATGTCCAAGTACTGTACGGGGAGCCTGCAGAATTGAGACACCAATATGGCAGAAGGGAAACTGCTGAGAGGCACATGCAGGGCTCTAAACAGTATTCCTCAGACTTCATTGTGCGTATGGATCCCCCGCGGCTCTGGTTAAGATACAGATTCTGACAGTAGGTCTGGGCTGGGGCCTGAGAGTCTGCGTTTCCCATAAGCTCCTGGGTGAAGCCGGGGCTCCGGGTCTGTGGACCACACTTTGAGTAGCAAGGCTCTACAGTACACCAAGTCTACAAAAACGATTCTTTCAAAATCTGTTTAGGATTCCGAAACCGGGGAACAACGATTCTGCACATCTAGTGCATGTTCACCAGAGAACTAGTGCATAAGCCACCGCCGGAAGCCTCGTTTTCACAGCGTGATAGAAAAACTTTACATTGGCGAGTTCCTTTCGAAATTTAAAATTCCAGAATGATCGTGGGTCACACACCATCTCTCTTCAGCTATAATGCGGCTCTAAATAGCTACATCTAGTTAACCACCTTTTAATGATCTCCATCCTTTTTAACCTTGGTTTGTCAACGCAGTTTATTTTAAAGAAGTCTCATGGTTTAAATAAGCCAAAAACTAGTGGTGTGGGCAGATGGTAGAAGGAACACTACCACAAAACCTGCCACTCAGAGTGTAACAGATGACCGTGGCAGCCCAGAACTATCCCTTTGTTCATTTTGCTAATGAGTGTCCTCATTGCTGTGGGAGTCTGAATAGTTAATTACGTGCAGTTCCTGCAGCTGACAGATGGTGGGGACAGAGCTAAAGATTAACCTCACAAGCACGGGGTCTTATAGATGGATAGGAAGAGGAAAGACCGTCCAGATGAATGTGTTTTCCTTGTTTCCTGCTTTTATACGAGAGTTTTAGAAAACGCATTGAGGTATTAGCTGCTACCACTTATACATTTCATGCTTCGTGTGATGAATTCAAATAGTTCTTGTTTAGTTTATGATAATGAGTGCTCATATCATTCACTGTGGGTATTCATATTGTGCCAGTTAGGAAATGTATGCTTATGCCTTTGGAGACAAATATGGTTGGTTGGTTGGTTGGTTGGTTGGTTGGTTGGTTGGTTGGTTTAAAAACCCTTTTTAGTCTATAAGTACCTTCTGTGATGGTTTCAAATTGAACCATGTGGGACTAGAAATTAATGACTGGGATTCTTCCTTTATTAAAACAGTGCTGTTTATTAACTATTAGATGTGTTAGTTCTCATGAATTAAGAATGAGTTGGGCTAAAATAATGTAAATGAAATGGTGGATCAAAATCATAAAGATTTGTATTGGGTTTAGTGCAAAATTTAACATTGTTTTAAAAAATTAACTCTGATATGACTAACTTTATTAGTAGGTGGCTTCTTATTGAATGTACTGGGTTTATTAAATGTACTGCAAAAATTGTAGCCACTTCTTTTTCTTTTGAGACATTATGGTCACAGAGTAAAACATTTTAATAATTTACTTTATTAAATAGGTTAAATAAAAATGCGGTTAAGATCTCTCTAAGGTTAAATAAAATCTCTCTCTCTAGAGAGAGATTTCAGATCTCTCTAAGGTTAAATAAAATGCGGTTCCAAAGGAACCCAGATCTCTCTAAGGTTAAATAAAAATGTGGTTCCAAAAGGAACCCAGTATGTTGGGAAGGAAGATTTTGTTTTTGAGAGATCTTATTTTTTTTTTTGTATTAGCAATCATGGCATTGCTGCGAAAAGAATACGTTATAATTGGTCTGAAGATTAAAGTTCGAAAGTACTTCTGTTAACCATATGAATTTTGAAGCAAGGCATATAGAACTTTCTATCTCTTTTACCACAATTATATGATGACTTTTCAGCCTACTCCTTAATATTTTGAGATTGCGTGATCGTTTAATATTTTACCATCACGAAGTAAAAAGTTCTGCATCAGCTTCCCCAATCCATTACATCTTAATTTTTAAAAAATGTGTGGCAGTAAAACCTCGGCAGCCATAAGCGTGAGTATATTCAGATGTTTTTCAATAGCTTTGAAACAGACAAGAAGAAGAAGAAGAAAGGAAGAGTAGCTGTCCCAATAAGCTTCTATTGCGTAAGAAAAAGCCTCTCCCATAATGGACATGGCAAGATTTAAACAAAAGACGCACATAATAAAAATGTAAATGAGTTTGCTTTACTAAAACTATAACTTTAAAGTCCTTTGTTGTAAGTTATCCTGAAACCTTCTTACAAGGTAATCGCTGTTTGCATAGAGATTTAAACCGAAGTCTTCAATAGCATTAAACGCCTGCACAGTCCCCAGTGTGACAGGCATGCAAAGCCATGTTAATGTTCAGAATATGAATTGCCTCTGGGTGGCTCCTCCACCAAGCCGAAAACCAACTGTGTGGATATCCGTGCGCCTGATGGACTCCATGCGGCTCCCAGGCTGAACACGTCACCGCTTTGACATGTGATGTGCTCCTCATGACACTGGCAGCGCTGACACTGGGAAATGCCACAAAGGCAACAAGCCCCCCTCCTTAGCCGTGCACTTTGCCACCCCCTGGCGCTGCCCGTTCTGGTCCCCCCAGCCTGCCTAGTTACAGGCGGACAGCGCTTCAGACACACACAGAGGGAAGTGTGGGTGGAGGGGCCCCAGCTGCCTCCCCGGACGCAGCCTCCATAATGAATTGACCTGAATGATGAGGGCACACAAACAGTATGATATGCATTATTCCTGTCAATAAAATGTCCCCATGTGCTGTGGTCTTTGTACAGAATGTACTGCAGCCTTTCTTCCAGCGAGCTCTATTTAATCTCCTTCCTTTTTACTATTCATATTATAAGTGTGTAATAGAATTCAGAAAATTATATGATAGCTCTTCTGCATCTGTATTGTCTTGTGTTGCATATTTAAATCCTCGGCTTTCTGCTTAGAAATATGGAATTCCCCATCTTTCAGGACACTTTTGCCAGAGAGACGATGCTAGAGAGGGAAAATTTGGAGTACAAAGTGGCAAACGAGAGACTGCTTCAGGTCATTTCAGAACTCGAAGAAGCAATCCGACTCAATCTAAAGGAAAATTCAGTATTAGGTAACATTTTACCGTCATTTTTGAGAAAACCCTATGCACTGGGCACTTCATAAAATCCATAGCAGTGTTTGTCTTTACCAAGCATACGTTTGCTTGGTTATTTACATGTATAAGATCAGTTGGATTTACATGTATAAGATCAGTTTGATTTTTATTGAAGATGGCATTCCTTGCTTGGGAAAGAGGGTTTATGTGTGGTTATATTTTTGAGCCATGCCATTCTAACTCAGGGTGTTTCTTTTCCTCCCAAGACGAACACTGACCTTTGAAAAATGTACAAGATTTCACCTAGAAATATTATAAATGGACAGAGACTTTTGCTGATTTCTGTTTCATATGCTTGCTTGATTATCTAAAATTTATAACCTTTAAATACTTAAGCACATAGATTGGGGTATGCTTTGTGGAGCAACAGAGTTAGCCCTTCAGAAAAATATGGCACTACTTACTACGGAATTATCTTCAATTTTGGATACAAATTTAAAGACAAATCTTCATGTGTATGCCTCATACTCCCCTTTTTTACATACCTTAAACGTTGGCAAAAGTTGTTTAAATCACCAAAGTTAGACTGCTTTAAAGTCTTTTTTCACTTACTGTTATCTTTGTATTTCTGTTACCTACATGGTGTTCCCCTTACCTGCAGTGATGAAAAGCAATAATAAAAAAAAACCTTACAGCAAAATATTGATGAAATCAGATAGATTACAATATCCCTTGAATATAAATTATAGCATGCCAGTGTAGTTTCATTTCCTTTCTAATGTGGTGTGATGCTGCTTTTTCAGACTTCGGTAGTTCTTACTGAGTCATAAGGTGCCACCTGCTAAAGCACTTTGTATTGGCTGTGACTAACGGCAAAAATGTCCATTGCTAGTATCGATGAAAAGCTTTCAGCCCTCAGCCACACTTGGATCTTGAACTTCGTTCTTAATCCCTATCTGACCAGCCGTCTGAACAGCAGGAAGAAGGCTGTGAATGTCAAGGGCAGTTGTGAAGGTCACAGTCCTGCTAGGACTTGCGTCCAGCATGCCTACCAGCCGTGTACAGCCTGCCCTGAAGCAGGGAGCTTGAATACAGGGCCATAAGCTTGTAATTTCATGGTTGGCCTCTCTTTCCTTTTGTTTACAGAAGATGAAATTGTAAGTCTGAAAGAGAAGGCAGAAAAGAATCATAAAACGATTCAAAAGGTACTGTAACATTTTACCTTGACTAACGACTCTTTTTACATTGAAATATCAGCACGACAACGAGTGAAATAACACTGTGTCCCGCTTGTCTTGGGGTGTAGGGAAAAGTCCATTTCCATATTTAGTCTCTCCCGTGATTTGGGTAGGGTCTCTGGTAATAAATAAGGATTCCATCTTGAAAATGAATTAATGTACAGATAGTTCTTTCCTTTGGGATAACTGAGTGTCTACCTTGTTGACTGTAAGGAACTGAAAAGTTATATGGACCCCGGGGGTCCAAAGGTGTGCTTGTGGGAGAATTCTATTATTAAGGAGGAACAATCTTATTTTCAGCCCAGATGGGGCTTCATGCTCATTTTTCCATTTGCGCATGAACTGGGCTTATGCTATGCAGGAAATCTGTATTTAGAACTGGATTTTGGTATTAGCAAGGTCAAGATCTCCCAGTGCATCTGAGGCCACAGGATCACAGCGGTCCCGCCCTCCCGCGCAGGTTGGGCGCCCCGCTTTGGGCTTTCTTAGCTCTCAGTGGTAGCGTTCCATCCTAGCTAGCAACACATTTTCAGCGACGGGCCGTCTTCCCTGCCGTGTTGCTAGCCTCACGAGGGCAGGGACGGTATCATCTCCATTTCTGATATATTCCCAGTGCTGAGCACAGTGCCTGGTGTGTGGACAAATGTTCTTTGAGTGATTCATAGAATGAAGGTGTGTTTAGAGTTCAGGAAATTTACAGGTGAAAACGTGTATTTACATCCCTGACTTATTCCAAATAAACACCAATGCTCTCCACTCACTGGATAGAGTGCCAGTTTTAAAATGAAAATGAATTAAAACTGGGTGACATTCATTTTTAATTAAACATTCATTCCCTCAGAGGCACTAGCCATGTTTCCAGAGCCCCAGTGAATGACCACCTGTGCCTAAGTTTCGGTCCAAATTTCAACCTGATTTTACAGTTCAGGGTATTCTTAGGTTTTTGATAAAATTACTCTTAAGAACTGTTTTTTAAAGACTTGGTTACACTAAGGGTCAGAGTTGGGCGATGTTTTCTCTGAAAACCAAACCCATCAATGGGGATTTGCAGAGCGAGTTCATTTTCTGGCACTTCACCTTGTTTGCAGTGGAGACAGTACAAGTCCCGTCCTCACAGAGAAAACAAGAGTCTGTGGACAGACAAGTTTAACCTTTTTAGTGTCAATATCTGCAGTTGAAAATGAAGTCCCAGCTTTCTGGTGTCACTTAACCTCCAAGGAAGGCTTAAATGTTTCTAAAACTGTTCAGTCTGTTCTGTCACTGGTAGAGATGAGTTGTGGAAGCTTACTATTCTCTGTGAGGAGCACAAGAAATTAAAGTGAAAAATCTGACCAGGAAGCCACCAGTTAGAAAGAAACATGCCCCTTCGAATGACGAGTTATACCTTGTGTGAGCTTAAATATTTCACTTAAATGCATCCTCAGCTTCCTTAGGTCTGCACTGCCCAGTGGTAGCCCCATGTGGCTAGTTGAAAATATGAACTGTGTCTAGTGCAACTGAGGAACTCAATTTTAAATTATACTTAATTTTAATTTTTAATTTAAATTTAAAAACTGATACTTGTTTCGGTTTATTGCAAAACTTTATGTATATTTTAAATAACTTGGTATGTGAATCTGCTTTTTTTCTGTAAGTTTTATGCAGTCTAAATACAGATCAAGTATTTCTGATGAAATTTTAGCCCCCGAATTGAGATGTATTGTATGTGAAAAGTACACACTGAGTTTCGAAGATTTAGTTTAAGTGAAATACCTCAGCAATGATTTTTAATATTAATTATTACACATTGAGAGGATAATATCTTGAATGTATATTTGGATAAATGAAATATATTATTAAAATTAATTTCACCTGTTTCTTTTACCTTTTTTTAACAAGGCTACTATAAAATTCAAAATTATATATATCTTGCACCATATTTTTAATTCACAGCTCTCTTCTAGACAAATATAGCAGATCCCTAGTCTGTTTGATCATTTCTAAATCCTTTTTTTTTTCTTTATACATACTGGCCCTCCACAGAAACATTGAATATAGGCACAATTTTGTATTGAGCAGAAAGAATCTAGAACCTTGGGTTCCTCTTCCATTTCTGCCACTGTGGTCCCTTGGGCCAGTGCCTTATCCTTCTTCCTGTCTCTCACAGTCTTACTGTGAGGATAGAATGAGATAATGTGCATAAAGTGCTTTGTCAACTGGAAAGCACGTTGGGAGTTGTTGAACAAACGAGAGCTGATATTACTGGTTTGGTTTCCAATATCCTCCACTATATCAATTAATTCAGCAATGTTTGTTAGATGCCTTTTAGTGCCAGGCTCTGTGCTACTGCAGAGACACACACACACACACACACACACACACACACACACGGCCCCGCTGTAGAGCAGATTAAGTCTAGAGCAAGAGACAAAACCCTCGGGCTGTGTGATGTGGACTGTAATGGAAGTATGTACATAGAGAAGAGATGTCTAGCTTTACCTGGAAGGTTCTAGAAAGGCTTCACACACAGCTCCACACCTATTTCGCACTCCTTCACTGGAGCTGATCTTTCCAGGTAGGTAGGAGGGTGGAAGAGCTGGGTCAGACCGTGAATGCATACAGTGTGAGAGATGTTTGTGGACTTGTTTGTGATTTGGTATGGCTAAAGTACAAGGTAGGAATCCAGTGAGCTATGAGAATTTGTGTTGGGGCAGGAAGAGGGGGGAGGGGTAAGCAGCTCAGAAGCCCCTGGATAAGACACATGTTTCCTTTTTTAGCCCTGGGTTCAGTGAAAACCAAGTTGAAAATGGCCTGTATTTGGGTAGGCTGATCTCGTGTCTTCCGTCCGGGTTTGAAGCACTATTATGATATTCCGTAACTTTCATGTTTAAATTCCAATAATCTAATAACAGCTGAATCTATATTCCAGCTGTGGCCATAATATGAATCTCCTTCTAGGAGGGAGTCAGCCAGAAGTCAGAAATGACAGCCCAGGGTGTGATCAGCATCAGGATGCAGGGCAGCATAGATTGCTGTGGGCCACATGGGGGAACCCAGCGTGGATTGTAAGGGATCCGGGAAGGTTGGAGGAAGGACTTTGAGTTGACTCCCAGAAGAGAGGTTCTAGTAAGCCAGGAAAGGGATATGGGAAGTGGAAAGGGTCAGAAACATGCAAAAGGGAAGTAAATGCATGTGATTTGCTATAGCTGAAGGGTATGCGAGAGCAAGGGATGGTAAGAAGCAGGGCTCATGGCAGAGGATTATTATTCATGCTAAGGGGTTTGAGTTGCCTTCTGAGTGCATTGGGGAGCCTTGAACATTGTGGAAGGATTGGTTTCACGTTTCAGAAAGAAAATGAGCAGGAGGGAGGAAAATCTGGAGCTAGAGAGACCAGTTAAGAGGCTACTTGGATAGACCAGGGAAAGTATAATCTAAAACAGAAAGAGGACAGTGACACTGGGAATGACCAAGAAGGATGAATTCCAGGGATGGTTAGGCAGTAAAAGTTATGGTCATTGATAAGGTTGAAGGTGGGAGAGGTAAAGGAGAAGTTGAGGCTGGAGAGCATTTGAATGAAGATGAGAACAGTCAGCGGGGGAAGCCAGAGAGGGGACATCACGGACGCGAAGCAAGGGAGAGTTTCCTTTGCACTGTGTCTTACCGCCAACTGTGCTAAAGGCTCAAAAGGGAAGATTAGGCAATTAGCTCTGGCAACAAAGTGACCCCGGTGATATTAATGGGAGTCATTTTCCTGGAACAGTGGGAGCAGGTGAGAAGCGGGGTGAATGCAGAAGTGGACACGGTGAGCGTGGGCAACTCTCTAGAAGTTTGCCTGTGGATGGCTAGAGAGAGGTAGGGGAGTAGTTCGAGAGGGACATGGGGCTGAGGGAGGAATTTTTTTTTTAAAAGAAGAAACTAGAATATTTTTAAACGATGCCAATGGAAAGAAGAATGAGAGTGGAGACGTAGAGCAGAAGAGGTCATTGATGAAGAGTGATCTAAGGAGGCAGGAGGGGTTGGGGCTAATGGTCTTGATGTTGGTGGTAATTGACATCCATTGAAAACTTGGTGACGCTCCTTTTCAGACCAAGGTATGATGACTCAATACAAAATCTTTTCCTTTCCTTCCACCTCATTCCATTACTTTCCCTAAACCTTCCATCTACCCTCCCACCTTATCAACTATACCACTGTGTCACCTTCAGAGACCCCTATTTAGCCAGTCCCCACTGTTCTCCAGCCCTGCTCCAGTGGAGATGGGCCAATCCTTGCCTGTTGGTGGCATTGCAAGCATATGGGGTTTTAACCCAGAGTAGCTGCACCCTCTGCCTGCCTAGCATTTCACTTGGGTCTACTTAGCACCCTTTCTTACTACCCCCTACAGCTCTTCTAATCTCCACTACTTTTCTTAATTCCCATATTCTATCCTCCATGCTTCCTAATTCACAGAAAACATGGCGGACACTTGGAATTTTTTTTCCCCTTCTGTGCTCTCTTACTCTGTCACTTAGCTTACCTAGCCTTACCTTTACTCCTTTTTATCTGAAGAGGATCATTCTTCTTTGCTCTGATTCATCCTTCCATCTATTCCCTGACTCATCTCTTCCTTCTTCCTCTTCTGGAACTTTCTTCATCAGTCCCTTTCTCTCTTATGCTTTTAAAAATTTTCCTCTAGCCTACAGATGTAGTGAAAACATCATCTTGGTGGTATCCATTGACTCTAATCATCCCCAACCCATTGCCGTTTACTGTACTTCAAATATTATTTAAAAGAAATCTGTGTTTACCAGTCCCTTTTTACTCCCCCAATGCTAGTTTTTCCTAGGTTTCCAAGGTCACAGTGAGATTCATATTGCCTTCAATCCTTTTGAGGTTTTTTTTTTCCTTCCTGAATTTTCTGCCGTATATGACAGACTACCTGCCATGTCATAGTCTTCTGCAGCAATGCTCATTTCTGATTCTTCACACAATTCTTCATTCCTTCCTAAGCAATATGTGTCAGTGGCTTCTCCTTCTCTATTTTCCACTTGAATTCCATTCTTGGGAATTCTATTTAACCTTGATCTTCCCCATTTTCTCTCTAGCTGACCTCAGCCTCTCCCATAAATGGCACACTTGTTTACCAGTGACTTCCAAACTTCCTCTCCTGCTTCACGATTACCCTGCACACCATGTCTCTAGTTTCAACTCTGTTCTCATCTTTAATTTCGATGTTACATGGACTTTGACAGTCCCCATCCATTTCCTATGGTAATTAGAAGCTCCCTCTATGGCCCTGCGTACCTGGGACTGTTTGCTCTCTTAAGGTCAGGAACTGTCTTGTTTATATTCTTAGTCATTGGCCCTAAAAAATATTTGCTGAAAAAATGCTCTACATGTTCATCAAACCCACTGTCAAAACTTGAATTTATTACCCCTTGAATTTGGATTCTGCTGTGTTCCCCCATTTAAATGAATGACCTTGCCATCGATCCCAAAGAATAGAGGAGAAGTCTAAGGTCGTTCTCTACTCTTTCCTTTATACCTAATATCTAGTTGGTCGCTCAATCTGTAGATTTTCCGTCCAAAATTGATCCTAAATCCCCCTTCTCTGTCACAGCATTGCTGCAGACTTGTTGAGGCTCTCATCATTTCCATAGATTCGAACTTCATTTTCCTGTCTCCACCCTCATCCCTTTTCAAATCTAGCTTCCACACTCTGCCATAGCTATGTCCTACCCTAATTGTATGTGCTAAAACCTTCAGTGGTTCCCCATTGCCTGCCGTATAAAATCAGACCACCCAAAAAATACACTGGGGGATTTTCAGATGCCAGAAACAGCTAAATTCTCTCCGGAAGAACTCTTTGAAATAGGTTTTATTATCTTAATTTTACAGACAAGAAAACTAAGACTTGGAGCAGAGACTTAGTTTACCCACACACCTAGTAAGGAGAAGAGCTCCCATTTGAACAGACTCCTGTTCAGCTCATTGCATCATCCTGCCTTCCACCCCGGATTGTGGGGAGCAAGGGCTCTCCTACAGTCACCCAACCCTCCTCCTTTCCTGCCACTGCTGTCTCTCTGCACCCTGGGTCCCCTTACACCAAGCCTTCCCCAAGTCCTCCATGACTCCATGTTCCTCTCCAGTTGCTGTGTTTTCTCTGCCTTGTTCCTTCTCCAATTTGTTACACGTATCCCTCAAGACCATTGTCAAACAGTACCTCTCCTGGTCTATCTGATTATAACTGTGGGTGCTGGGGTATGTGGATTGCTATGCTTTTTGACCACCTGAAAATGTGATTTATTAACATATTTTCTTATGTATTATGGTCATTTTTTCACATTGCTCTCCTGTAGATGCTCCAGAGGAAGGGATCTGTTCTACTTCATTTCTGTACCTCTGTAGATGAACGTAGACCTCCTGGCATCTAAAAGGTGTTCCATACATGCGTATAAATTAATGAATATATGAATTAATTGAGTGGATGTCAGAATCAAGTTTTGAAATTTATCAGTGTATATAACATAACTGACATCCAATATATGTATATAATATTATATAACTGATATATATTATATGTCTTATATGTATATACATGTGTGTATATATTATATAACTGATATATAATATGATATATAATACATAATATATGATATTATATATCATTGGTAACATGTATATCATGATATATATTAATATATATTATGTATCAGTTATATTATATCAGTGTATCTAATATAGTATAATATAAATATACACAAATGGCAAATAATCCCTGAAGATATGGAGGCGAGTCATAGGAGTGCAGTGGTCCTACAGCGTATGCTCTTTGATGGCTGTTTTCAGTTGGCATGAAGAGAGTTTGATGTGCATAGAAATAGAACACAAAAATCTAAAATAAATGAAATGAGTCCTATAAAGAGGAGAGCAAAATTTCTCTTCTTGACAGACTCTACTTGCTTTATTATATATTGATGTCACATTCTGTTGGGGTAGCGTGAGGAAGATTGTAAATAAATTGGCATTTCCTGTGTATATTTTGCTTGCTTTTCTAGTAAAAATACAGTAACTACATAATAATGTATTATTGTTACATGATAATCTACAGACATTTAAATTTTCTAAATCATATTAGAATCTCCTTTTCTCCTGTTTAAAATCAAAATATGTGTTGCTAAATTCTGCTGAGGAGGAATTTTAGACATTCTGTTCTTTTTTTTAATCAAAATGTAATATTCTTCTCTTTTAGCTAATTGATGGTAGAGACAGATTACTATGTGAGCTTGATTATGAAAAATCATTAGTTCAAGAAATGGTAAGGTGACTTACATTATTTCCTAATAAATTTGAAATCAGGAATTCAATTTAATCATGAAAGATTTATAAACTTTATCTGTAAACATTTTACTGTAAACTTATTTCACCTTCGTCAATAATCTAAATGCATGCCTAATTATAGACTTTTTTAATTGAAGCATAATTAACACATGATGTTATATTAGTTTCAAGTATACAACATAGTGATTCGACAGACAATTCCATACATTAAGCTATGCTCAGTACAATAAGTGTGGTCACCATACAACGTCATTACAATATTATTGACTATATCCCCCATGTTGTACTGTGCAACCCCCTGACATACATATTTTATAACTGTAAATTTGTACCTCTTCATCCCCTTCATCTATTTCTATAAACATTTTTAAATGATCATTTTAAGGCAACAGATTGATTAGTACTATGAGAAATGTAATAAGCTGACACATAGATGAGTCTTCCATAAGAAATCGTGTTACCATTTAAAGCACTGTCCAAAGTTTTTGAGTTTTATTATGGAGATTTAAAAAAAGCCACACAAATAGGAGAGCCCAATATTTTGAAGGATCTGCTATTTTTAGTTACAAATTGCCATAAGTGACAACAACAAAAAAAGAACCCAGCTAGATATTTTGGCATTCTGTGTTAGTCTCATAAGGAAACACTGCCTTTTTATGTTCTTTTAAGAGAACTTTCCAGACGGCTGCTCTTTTATTTTATCTGTTGACTACCCACCCCCCAGGCCCCGCCACCTCACCCCCCGCCCAGCTTATGGTGGTGTACTTTGGCTTTCAACTGGTCACCACTAGTATGTCTTTGTTACAGGAAACTGACTGTGTTTATTATAATCAAAAATAAAACACAGCTTGACTTGCGTTCTAAATGTGCTTGAAAAGAATATGATACTGTTTAGAAGAGAAAAGGTTGTTCATAGGAAGTCAACACCACTTCAGATATTGAAACATTCCCTTTTTTACAGCTTGTCACACTTTGTGCCAAGTCATGACTGTTTCCCTAACTCTGTTTTGTTACTCTCAGCACCATGTGTTTTGGGTTCCTTGTCATAGAAATTAATGCAAAACAATGCTCCCGGACGACAATAAAGCCTTCTATGAAACCAACTTGGGAATGCAGGCAAGGAAAAAAATTATGGTTAGCTATTCACAGAAACCATGTGCTAACAAATAATGTTATTTTGAACCCTTTACTTTTAGATACCTCGCCTATAAAATTCGTCTCCATTATTTGAGTATACTTGGTCAATTTTTTCTCTCCCCACCCCCTTCTGTCATTCCTCCAAAGTCTAGGAGTTGTTTCTCAAAACAAACGAAATGTGCACATTGTCATTAAAATTCAAAGTGTTTTTATAGAATGGGAAGCAAATGTTATTGTCAGTTTGTTAACGACGTTAGAGAAGGAATTAAACTCCTTGATCAGTGAGTTTGTGCGATACTGTGAACAGAACCCATAGTTTTACTTGGCCTCTTTATTTAAACCTTAAGCAGTTAATGGGTGCTATTGTATTGCCCACAGGGGAACCAATCACGTTTTATTTTGTTGTTTGGAAGTTTGTGGAGCACCAAGCTTGTTGCCAAGCAGCAAGATCTTGCATCACAAACCAGCCCCCGCCTCCCCTCACAAGAGCCTTCAGCAAGCTCAGAACTAGTTCGGGGGTTCATGTTTTCAGAAGAGAGAGTCTGCTTAAGGTTCTTATCATGACCGAGGTTTCCGGGGCATACCTTTGGGCCCAGCAAGGTCACTGTTTGGCACCCCCTCCCTCCCACCAAGGCATTCTGTTCCTAACTTGGAGGGAGGCTGGCTTTGTGGCTCTCTGGCTTCCTTTGTTTCTTGCCACACTACTTTTTTTTCCAGAAATGAAGATTTCTGGACTGATGATTGTACCTAGATGGAGAAGTGGGAGACGGTAGAGTGGATGCAGTCTTTTTGTAGAAATGTAAAAATGTTCTCACTGCAGGGTTTTTGTTCCATGCTTGCCTATTCCTGTTTTCCAATGCAGTTTATTTTCTGGTCTCTTAAGAACCTAGTCTAAAAAGTCAAAGAGCTGCAAGTAATAAGGCACCACCAGTAAGTGTAGGGAAGCAATGAAATTTGGAATCATGGTATCCTGAGATTGGCTCGAAGGGAAGCGTATGAAATAATTTTGTATCTTCCTGTGATTCTTATGCATAGTGGCTTCCATTTATCTGTTTAAAGATTGAGATGTAATCGCCACATAACACTGTATTGGTTTTAGGTGTACAACAAAAGGATTTGATATATGTGTATATTGTAAAGTGATCACCATGGTAAATCGAGTTAACATCCATCACCACACAGTTACAAAATTTGTTTTCTTGTGATAAGAACTTCTAAGATTTGCTCTCTTTGCAATTTTCAAATATACAATACGGTAGTGTTAACTATAGTCACTATGTTGTATGTTATATTCCTAGGACGTTTATTATGACTAGAAGTTTATGTACTGTGATCACTTTCACCCATTTCGCCGACCTCACTTCACTCCCCACCTCTGGCAATCACCCATCTGTTTCTCTAAGTTCAGTTTTTTTACATTCCACATATAAGTGATCATACGGTATTTGTCTTCCTCTGACTAATTTCGTTTAGCATAATGTCCTCAAGGCCCATCCATGTTGTTGCAAATGGCAGGATTTCCTTCTTTTTTTATGGTTGAATAGTATTGCATTATATCAATGCCATATTTTCTTTTCCATTCATTTGTTCATGGACACTTCGGTTGTTTCCATGTGTTGGCTATCATGAATAATGTTGCAGCGACCATGGGCGTGCAGATATCTTTTTGATATAGTGATTTTGCTTCCTTCAGATAAATGCTCAGAAGAATAATTGCTGGGTCATATGGTAATTCTATTTTTAATCTTTTTGAGGAAACTCCATACTGTTTTCCACAGTGGCTGAACCATTTACATTCCCACCAGCAGGCCACAAGTGTTCCCTTTTCTCCACATTTTTGCTGACCATTGTTATCTATAGTGATAGCCATTCTATCAAGTATGAGGTGATATCTCATCAATGGTTTTGATTTGCATTTCCCTGATGATTAATGGTGCTGAATACCTTCACATGTACCTGTTGGCCATTTGAATATCTTCTTTGGGAAATGTCTACTTAGATCACCTCCCTATTTTTTTAAGATTTTATTTATGTGAGAGAGACAGCACGCACACACGTGCGTGTGCATACAAGTGAGTGCAGGGAGGGGCAGAGTGAGAGAGGGACAAGCAGACTCCAGGCTGAGTGGAGAGCTGGATGTGGGGCTCAAACTCATGACCCCAAGATCATGACCTGAGCTGAAAGCAGGAGTCAGATACTCAACCACCCAGCCGCCCAGGTACCTCAATCATCTGCCCATTTTTAATTGGATTATTTGGTTTACTTTTATTTTTATTTCTTTTGCAATGGAGTTGTATGAGATCTATATATATTTTGGATATTAATCCCTTATCAGATATATGATTTCCAAATATTTTCTGCCATTCCATAAGTTGCCTTTTTATTTTGTTGATTGTTTTGCTGTACAGAAGCTCTTCAATGTGATATAGTCTCACTTGTTTATTTTTTATTTTGTTACTTGTGTGTTAGGTGTTATATCCAAAAAAAAATCATTGCTGATACCCATGTCAAGAAGCTTTTCCCCTATGTTTTCTTCAAGGAATTTTATGGCTTCAGGCCTTGCATTTAAGTCTGTAATTTATTTTGAGTTAATTTGGGGGAGTGGTATAAGATAGGAGTCTAGTTTCATTCTTTGACATGTGAATGTCCAATTTTCCCAGCACCATTTATTGAAGAGACTGTCTTTTCTTTATTGAGTGTCCTTGGCTCCTTTGTCAATTATTAGTTGGCTATTTATTCATAGGTCTAGTTTTGGACTCTCAACTCTCTTTCGTTTGGTCTGTGTGTCTGTTTTTATGCCAGTACCATACTGGTTTGATTACTGTAGCTTTATAATATACTTTGAAATCATGAAGTGTGATGCTTCCAGATTTGTTCTTCTCTCTCAGCATTGCTTGGGTTTTGTGGTGGGGGGGATCTTTTGTGATTCCATATAAGTTTTAGAATTATTTTTTCTACCTTGGTAAAAAGTGCAATCTGTAAAAACTGGAATCATAATAGGGATCGCATTGGCTTTGAGTAGTATAGCCCTTTTAACAATATTAATTCTTCCAGTCCAGGAACATGAGTTATCTTTCCATTTATTTGTGTCTTCTTCAATTTCTTTCATCAATGTCTTGTAGTTTTCAGTGTACAGATCATTCACCTTGGTTAAAAAACAAAAAAAAAAAAGTGTATTCATCAGAAAAGTACTATAACCGAACTCTTAATTTTAACTATTTTTTCATCTGTTTCATCCCAGTGTACTTGGCTTCTAGGGACAACCCAGACGTAAGATAGAAAGGAGTTACAAAGGTTGCTGTAGCCCCTCATTCTGGGGGCCCAGCCCTGAGTTACTGCTGCAGTTGGCCTTGATCCCATAACTGGGGTCCCTGTTGCCTGAGCTCCCTCTGAGTCATGCCTCAGGTCTGTCTAGACATATACCAGGTAATGTGGCAGTGTTTGGCCATTCAACTAGGAAATCAGTATTTTGATGACCCAGATATTTACTATAATAAAATATATGTCTGAATTTCTGTGTCTAGTCCTGTGTATTTGATAAATTTTAGGTTATTATATCACCTCTCATTAGTACTATCACTGTACATTTTTATTTATTTATTTATTTTTAGAGAGAGAGAGAGAGAGTGAGTGTGCAAGTGTGGGGAGGGTTAAGGGGAGAGGGAGAGAGAGCTCTTAAGCAGCCTCCATGCCTAGCAGGGCGCCCCACAAGGGGCTCTTTCTCACAACCCTGAGATCATGACCTGAGCCGAAGTCAAGAGTCAGACTCCCAACTGACTGAGCCACCCAGGCGCCCCTCTGGTACTATCACTGTTCTGACGCTGGTGTTCCACAGGTAGA